CCCCGCCCCCGTCCCGCGTGGCCTCCCCACGGTCCGCACCCCGGGCCAGAATGGTGCACCGGCCGCCGCCCATGAGCCTGCACTGACGCCTCACCCTCTCCCCAAGTCCACAGCTTCCATCAGGGCCCGCTGTGGGCTCGCCCGTGCTGTTTCCGTGGTCGGGACACAATGGTTTCTCTGCCCTCCACCCCTCCCCTCCACCCTCCCCCCCTCCCCTCCCCTCCCCTCCCCCCTGTCCCCCCTCCCCTCCATCTCTGATCTTACTGCCTCCGAAGTTTTACTTTTCCAGAACAACATATACTCAGACAGTATACAGTCTTCTCAGACCGCCGTCTCTCACTTAGTAGTATCCACTTAAAGGTCCCCTCTGTCTTTTCGTGGGCCGACAGCTCATTTGTTTTTAGTGCTGAATGATACCCCCACTGTCTGGGTGTGCGACAAAGTGCCACACTGCCTTCCAAAGTGGCTGTAACCCTCCTGTCGTTCCCAGCCAGCGGGGTGGCCTTCCTGTCTGCCAGGAGCGAGGACCCTGTCTCTCCACACCCCCCCCAGCGTTTGGTGCTGTCAGCGCTTCAGATCCTGGCCGCGCTGATAGGGGAGGAGTGGAATCTCATTGTTTTAATTTGCAATTCCCAGGATGACACGTGACACTGAGCAGCTTTTCGTTTGCGTCTTTGTCTCCTCTGTGTCTGTGGGGAGTTGTCTACTCAGGGTCTGTGCTCATTAAACAAATCAGGTTGTCAATTTTCTTATTATTGAGTTTGAAGAGTTCTTTTGTATTTTTCGGATAACAATCCTCTATCAGATGTGTCTTGTGCGGATGTTTTCTCCCCGTCTGTGGCTCCTCTCATGGTCTTGACAGTGTCTTCTCCGATCAGGTTTTCACGTTAACAAATTCCAGAGGGTCAGTGATTTCTTGGATGGCTCACGCCTTTGGTGTTACAATTAAAAGCTCATAAACGGGGCACCTGGGTGGCTCAGTCAGTTAAGTGTCCGACTTCAGCTCAGGTCATGACCTCACAGTTCGTGGGTTCGAGCCCCGCGTCAGGCTCTGTGCTGACATCTAGCTCAGAAAAAAAAAGTATTTCATTTTAGGGGTTGCTACTGTAAGTGGCGTGGTGTTTTTTATTTCAAAGTCTACTTGTTTATTGCTGGCATATAGGAAAGCAATTGACTTCTGTATATTAACCTTGTAACTTCCGTTCTTTGCTGTAATCACTTATTCAAGTTTCTGTTGTTGTTGATTCCTTAGGATTCTACTTAGACGATCACATCATCTACACACAAAGAAAGCTGTATTTCTTCCTTCTCAATCTGTGTATCTTTTGACTTAGTCAGTTTGGGCGGCTAATAACAAACGCCGTGGACTGGGGGGCGTACACAACAAACGTTTCTCACAGTTCTGGAGGCTGGATTAGCATGCCAGCATCCTCGGGTTCTTGGCGAGGGCCCTCTTCTTGGTTTATGGATGGCCACTTTCTCGTACCCTTGCATGGCAGAGACAGAGAGACAGAGGAAGGAAGCAGTCTCAGGTCTCTTCTTTTTTTTATTAACCATTTTTTTTAACATTTATTTATTTTTGAGAGAGAGTGTGAGGAGGGGAGTGGCAGAGAGAGAGAGGGAGACACAGAATCTGAAGCAGGCTCGAGGCTCCGAGCTGTCGGCACAGAGTCTGATGTGGGGCTCGAACCCACGAACCGTGAGATCATGACCTGAGCCAAAGTCGGACGCTTAACCGACGGAGCCACCAAGGTGCCCCTCAGGTCTCTTCTTATAACAGCACTAATTATCATGACAGCTTCACCCTCATGACCTCCAATTGCCTCCCAAAGGCCTCAGCTCCAAATACTATCCCATCGGGGATTAGGGTTTCAACATACGAACTTTGAGGAGATGCAAGTTCTGAGGCCATAGCACCTTTCATTTCCTTTTCTTCTCTTATTGCATTGACTAGGACTCCAATAACATGTTGAAAAGGGATGGTGGGAGGGGACATCCTTGCCTTGTTGCTGATCTTAGTGGGAAATTACCTAGTTTTTCTCTCATTAAGTGTGATGTTGGCTGTAGGTTTTCTGTAGATGTTCTTTATCTAGTTGAGGAGGTTCCCCGTGCCTCGTTTGCTGATGGGTCAGTGTTTTATTATGAATAAATGTTGGATTTTGTCAAATGCTTTTTCCACATGTATTGATATAATCATGTGACTTTTTTCTTCTTTAGTCTGTTTGTGTGCTGTTTACATTAGTTAATTTTTGAATGTTGAGCCAGCCTTGCATGCCTGGGATAAATCCCACTTGGTGATGGCGTATAATTCTTTTTGTACATTGTTGGATTAAATTCGTTACTTCTTTGAGGACTTTTGCACCTGTGTTCATGACAGATGCAGCTCTGTGGTGGGTTTTTTTTTTTTTTAATGTTTATTTATTTCTTTTTGAGAGAGGGAGAGAGAGAAAGTGAGTGTGTGTGAGTGGGGGAGGTGCAGAGAGAGAGGGAGACAGAGAATCCCAAGTAGCCTGTCAGTGCAGAGCCTGATGGGGGGGTCAAACTCACGTACCATGAGATGACCTGAACCGAAATCAAGAGGTGGACGCTTAAGACTGAGCCACCCAGGTGACCTGTGTAGTTTTGTTTTCTCGTAATAGCTTTGTCTAATTTTGGTATTAGAATAACACTGGCCTCAGAATGAGTTAGAGAGTGTTCTCTCTGTTTCTATCTTTTGGAAGAGATTGCAGAAAATTTGAAGGATTTCTTCCTTAAATGTTTGGTAGAATTTACCAGTAAATTATTCTGAGATTTTCTACCTACTTTTGTTGATTGATTTCTAGTTTAAGTCTATTTTGGTCTGAGAGCATACAGAACACATTGAAAATTGTGAGGGTATGTTTTATGACCCAGAATATGGTCTATCTTGGTGAATATTCCATGTGATCTTGAGAAAAATGTGCATTTTGCAATTTCTGGATGAAGTCCTCTAGAGGTGTCCATTGGATCCAGTTGGATGGTACTGTTGAGTTCAACTGTGTCCTTACTGATTTTCTACCTGCTGGATCTGCCCATTTCTGTTAGAGGTGAGTTGAAGTCTCCATATATAATAGCAGATCCATCCATTTCAACTTGTAGTTCTACGGGTTTTTGCTTTATGTATTTTGACACTGTTGTTAGGTGCATATACATTAAGGATTGTTATGTCCTCTTGGAGAACTGACCCTTGATCATCATTGTAAAGAGAGGCATTACATAATGCCTCAACATTTTTCCTTCTCTGAAGTTTGCTCTGTCTAAAATTAATATAGGCTCTGATAAAACCCCAGTAAGTTAAGCTCTGGGCAAAATGGTTTCTCTTAAGGGCCTTGAAAAACAGAGGGTTCTGGCATATTTTGAGACGGTTACTCCCCCTTCCACTGTGAGAAGCAGGGTTTTTTTCCCCTCTGATCTTCACTGTGAGGACCTGATAGAGCTTCAGAAGACGCAGCTCACAAAGGTGTGGGACTCCACTCCTTCCATGACTGGGTCACCCTGGAGTTTTAACTCTCATACTTGTCCACACTGAGCCTCCACCAATTTGTCGATTCCCGTTGAGCGTTTCCTATTCTGGTACTGGTTCCTGAGAAGGTGGCTTCTGCTTTGGCAAGTTGGGATTCTCTGCATTCGGCCGTCTGTCTCTCCAATTTTGGGGGGCAGCCCTTCGTCCTGTGACTTCCATGGATTGAAGAGGATGTGCTGAATTTTCAACTTGTTTAGCTTTTTCCTTGTCGATAGGATGGACTGATGACTTCCAAGCTCCTTACACGCTGGAAACTGGAGACATGGTCGCCCAGCCTCAGACTACATCTCCCAGCTTCCCTTGCAGCTCGGCCTGGCCAATGGGGTGTAAGTAGAAACCCTGTGAGCCAGAGTGCCTTTCCTTCCCTTCCCCTCTCCTCCTCCCTGTGGGCTGGAAGGCAGCCCCAATTCTGATGAATCCGCTTCCACCGTGCAACGGAGGGCATCGCTCCAGGGAATTGGCAGAGCAACAAAGTGGAAGGGACCTGGGGCCCCGGGGGCCCCTGGCAACCAGGACCATGCACCCCTGGACTCTTACAGCAGGGAAGTGAAGTTCTATCCTCTTTGACCCGGAGTATTTTGGGGTCTCTTTATCAAGGCAATTTAGCCTGTACCCTAACTAATCCAGATCCCCAAACCCCGAGCAAGCCCAGAGTTTCCTGGCCAGAGACAGCTGGCTGTGGTCGAAAGTACATGGGTGTGGGCAGAAAGCAGGTCCCGCCTCAGGCTCGGCTGCTGATGTACTGGGTGGCTCACCTACCCTCCCTGGGCACTTCTACGTCCTAATCCGCCTCAACTTGCCTCCGGTGAGATGAGGGGCGGACACGCGTGCTGAGGAGCCCCTGACGGGCGCTGGCGGCTCGTAAGAGATTTTGATGAGGGAAACCCTGAGGCTGAAGGGACGGGCTGAGTTATAACCTGTAGGAGCCTCTCTGCCTCTGCCGGCAGGTTTCCGGTGCCTCGAGCTGAGACACTGCAGGGGTGGCTCTTCTGGACCCTCTTAGCAACATACGGCGAACTTGACATTTTTGAGGACAGCTTCCAGGTCCTTCGGCTCAGATCAGCCTCCTCAGTGCTCGGCCCTGCCCCCTGCAGAGTCCCAGGGACCTTCTCACAAAAGCCTGGCTCATCTGCCCTCACCCCTGCCGCCCCCCCAGGCGCCCGCCCTCACCCCTGCCGCCCCCCCCAGGCGCCCGCCCTCACCCCTGCTGTTCCCCCCTGTGGTGCCTCTGTCCTCCTGGGCTCAGATGAACGTCCCTGGGCCGGACTCTCTTACCTTGAACTAACCTCGGTGTAGCACTGATTTCATGCATGTTGCACTATTCGCCCACAGCTTTCCCTCCTCGGACATGTTGAGGTGGGCGAGACGGGGCGGGGCCCTTTCTCGCACCACCCTTGGCTCTTGCCGTTTCCCGACATTCAATGCCCTTCCCTCCTCTCTCTGTCCAGCTAAATCCTGCCTCTGTTCTAGAGCTAGTTCAAGGGCTCCTTCCGTCCCCCAGCCCTGCCTGGTCTTCAACACTTCTGGGGATATGGGAACCCCCAGTGGCCCAGGCGTGGCCTGGAGGTTGGGCCCGATCTGCCTGCATCAGGCACGCGGGCTGGCGGGCGGCGCAGTGCTGGAGGGGGAAGACTCCAGGAGCCCAGGCAAGGAATTCTGGGCCGGGCTGTGCAGGCACGGAGGCGCCTCGGGTCCGAGGGACGGGGAAGCAGCCGCAGGCACGGGCTGATCCAGCAGCCGCCTGGGTTCGAACGTGAACTCCGGCACAGGAAGGAACAAGGGGAAAGGATGTCCGGAGGCTCTGGGGTCTCAGAGGGGAGTCCAGACCTCCAGGGTCGGAACGTGCTGCCGGGCAGGCTGGTCTGGAGGCCGGTGACGTCAGCAGGGGCCGAGCGGGGGGCTGGCGAGCCCGGGAGCTGTGGCGGCGGGTGCCGCGGGCTCTCTCCGCAAGAGCTCACAGCCAGCCAGAGCCTGGTGCAGGGCGTCCAGGGTGGCCGCGGGTCCACGTCTCCCTTCTGGAAGGAAAGCGTAGACAGGGAGGGCAGGTCAGCTTGCTCTGCGTGGCCCCCGGGCCCCTCTTCCTTCTGGGGCCCTCCCTCCGCTCCCTTCCCCTTCTTCCCTCTCTCACCTCACCCCCACCAAGGACCCCAGAGAAGCAGGTTCCTCGCACCCAATTTCTGACCTCCCCCTCGATTCCAGGGACCATTCAGGGCGCTAGGCGTCCCCGAGCCTCGGCCGGCCGTGCCCTGTGCCGGCGAGCGAGCAAGGGCCTCTGCCCGCTGCCCAGCCCATTAGCGTGTGAGGCCCCCTGAGGGGAGGGCTTGGCCTGGCCCGTCTTGAATTCACAAGACGCCGTCTGGCGCCGATGCAGTCCTACTGCCCTGAACTTGGCCGGAACAATGGGCCCCAGTGCTTAAGGGAGAGAGCTGAGGCTCTGGGCGCAGCCGCTGCCTGGCCTCTTGTGCGTCAGTCTGTCCATCTGTGGAATGGATACAACAACGGCAGCTCTTCAGGGGGCTGTTGTGATGATGCAGTGGGTTCAAACCACGTGCGGCGCCTCCCCAGAGCCTGGCGCGTAGTCAGCCCTCGGGGGTTTTGACCCCGCTGGCTTCTGCTTGGCTCTTCGCCTCCGGGACTTCTTTTCCCTGCTCTCGTCCAATAGCATTTACAGTTTCCTGAAGCCTGTTCCCGACTATGCACATTCAGGGCGGTGATGACAGTGGCGTTTCGCAGACAAGATGCTCCGGACAGACCGTGCTGGGTCAGGGCCACCCCAGATGCCGTCCGGGCTCCGAAAGATGGCAGAGTCTCCTACCGTGCGTGGGCTCCTTGCAAGCCTCCAGCGTGTTCAGCAGAATCTTCCCCAGGGCTCTTTTCGATATATTCTGAAGAAGAAATGGAGACAGGACTGGACTGCGCCGTGGCTGCCAGTCCTCATTCAGCAGGTGGGGCTTGGTGGCCCCCATGGTGACCACTGTCTTCACTGTCTCGCTGTCCGCTGGTGCTGGCCACCCCTCCCCTCTCGCTCCCCACCCCATCTCTCAGGCTGGGCTAATCTGGTCTGGGGCTTGCTGGTTCTGGTCTTCAGCAGTCTGGTGCACAGCTAAGAGCCTACCTAAAACTCAGGCCATCTGGATTCAGATCCCACTTTCACCTTACAGTGGCTGTCATCCTCAGTACATTGTCTCCCAAGAAAAAAAATATTTTATTGTTTATTTATTTTTGAGAGAGAGAGAGAATGAGTGGGGGAGGGGCAGAGAGAAGGGGGTACAGAGACTCCGAAGCAGGCTCTGAGCTGACAGCACAGAGCCTGATGCAGGGCTTGAACCCATAAACCGTGAGATCTTGACCTGAGCCAAAGTCGGATGCTTAACCGACAGAACCTCCCAGGTGCCCCTCAAAAATTTTTTTCTTAAATACTTCACTGATGCTATTTAGGCACATGATTTATTTCTGTGCTCTGATATTTTATCATTCATCTTGCCAGGAACTTACAATAATTTGCCTCTGGATTCTCTTGGGTATTTCTGTGTAGATGAATATGATATAGACGGACTGACAGCTTTATGTCTTCTCGTCTAACCCTTACGCCTTTCCCTTCTTTTTCTTGTCTTAGTCCTTTGGCTAGCACTTCTAGCTGGCGTCCATACGGTGATGCGTGTCTCGATTCTGACTTTAGAAGGATTCCTTCTAACATTTCACCAGGACGTGTGAGGTTCGTGAGAGGCAGTTGGCCGAGTGACATTCCTTATCTGGTAAAGGAGGGACCTTACTGTTCTTAATTTGCGGAGGGGTTTATAATAAAAGGAGACTGTTACTGACTGTTCTATATCTGTTGAGATGAAGATGTGGGTTTTTTCCTATAGGAGGCAGAGGGGTATAGGATGGCCATAGATGTTATCTTTGAATTACTGCAATACATCCAATTTGGCCATGTTGGGTTTCCTTTAAAACTGCCGATTTGGTTTGCTGGTGTCTTATTTAATATTTTTGTATCCATGTTTCAGTGCAAATGTTAGCTCATAATTTCCTTTAAAAAAGTTTTTTTAATATTTATTTTTGAGAGACAGAGAGGCACAGATTATGTGGGGGGGAGGGGCAGAGAGAGAGGGAGACACAGAACCTGAAGCAGCTCCAGGCTCTGAGCTGTCAGCACAGAGCCTGATGTGGAGCCAGAGATCGTGACCTGAGCCGAAGTCGGATGCTGAACCAACTGAGCCACCCAGTCGCTCCATAACTTTCCCTTCTTATATTCATCCTTCTGTGGTTTTGGGATCAAAGTTATGTTAGTTTTATAAAACAAATTAGAGATCTTCCCCTTGTTTTTAATTACCTCCCCAGAGCCTCCTTTTCTGCATCTAGAAAGTGGAGGTAACACCTGCCTAACGTGAGGAAAGCCCGACACAGGCCGGTGCCCTCTCCCGAGAGCCCCTCCCCTTGCCCTGGGGGGGCGCCTCCCGTGAGCCTACCAGGTCCCGGAGCCTTTGCAGTAGCTGCAGCACGTCCACCAGCTTCTCCTCCAGCAGGGACAGCCGCACCCTCTCCGTCTCGACCATCTGCAGCTCCAGCCTCAGCTGCTCATTCTCTTCCACCTTCTGCTGCAGCTCTGCCTGCGGGGACCCACGGGGACTGAGCACCCACCCTGCTACCCTCTGCCCCAGGCTCACTGGGCCGTCTGCAGGCGGGACCCGCAGCTTGCTTTGACCCTTTCTCAGAGATCATCTCATCTGCTCCCCCCCAACCAGCCTGTCAAGGTTGGGAAACCCTCCCCCCCATCTTCCCAGTGATGGCACCAAGGCCCAGAGAGGCTGCATGTCTGGCCTGAGGTCACGCAGTGGGTTGGGTTAATGTAAGAATATGCATATTTTGTTTTCTAGGTGAGGACTTCATCTTCCCTTCTCTTCTCTATCCATATATATTTTTTATCCATATACATGTATATATATTTGGTTGCAAGCAACAGGAACCTTTGAGGCTGGTTTAAACAGAACAAGAATTCACTAATGGGCTGTGGGTCATTCCCAGGACAGGCCGGCGGTTGGAGAAACTCAGGGACGGGGCAGCAATCGGGGGGAGACCGTGGGGAAGTCTCCGGCCTCTTGTCCAGGGCCCAGAGCTGAGAAGGACGCTTTCCAGCAACTTTCTCATCTTCCTCAAATGGAAAACCTCAGGAGAGCAGCTCCGTTGGGCCAGTGTGAGTCACTGGCCGGCCCTTGGCCAGGGGAGCACCGAGCACGGGTATCCACTGGATACCCACTAGGGGGCAGATGGTAGTCAGTCACACAGTGTCACGTGGCTACCCGCCTTCTAAAGCCGGGATGCCCGGAGTAGGGGGGGTCCCTGTTATCAGCACTGATCGGGGGAAAGAGAAGGAGCTGAAGTCGAGGTACCCAAGGGCACCGCTGGGTCCACTTTGCGCTTTGGGCAGGACGGAGAAGGCGGGTGCCCACGCCTCCTGCAGCTGGGACGGGAAGGTGGGCTTGGGGACACAGCTCGTGTGCCTCAGTAACTCTCCTACCCCCACTTCCTTGACGTTCACCTAGAAAAGGGGTGGCGCCTATGCCTTGCGGGACTGCATCGGACCACAGATGCGTCAAAACCAGCCCGGGTTGAGATTCCAGGTGCACAAATATAAACCGATTGGAAAAGTGCCGTGTGCCAGGGCCTGACCAAATGGTGACGCCCAACAGCACTCCACGCTTGGTTACTGTGCAGTGGAGAAGCTGCTACGGAGTAGAGAGGTGCGGAAAAATGCAAATGGAGGCCGGCCCCCTCCCTGCCTCCCCCTCAATAACTTTCCTTGGGGGAAGGGTCCCTCTTTACCCGCCTCTGACCTTGACGGAGCTTCCTGCCTACGACAGGGACTGGCCCAGGGGCACTCACACGACCGAGGCTGCTCCCGTTGGTGTTTTTCCCTGAGACTGAATATATTGGGCTCTTCTCCCCTTGGGGTTTCTTAGCTGGGCCAGTGGGGGCCTGGAGCTGTCTCTGGTCCCTTCCCCACCATTTGGAGGAAGGGGAACGAGGCCAGCACCGGGGAAACAGAGCGGACGGGGCAGAGACGATCTAGTCCGAGTTGCTGGAGCCAGCTGTTTCTGAAGCTGTTTGTGCCCGCTCCACATTCTAAGAAACACCTAGTTTGCCCTCAAGCTGTTCGGAGATGATGGTTCCTTTAACCTGCGACCAAAATATTCTTCACTGAATCTAAATCAAAGGAAGGCACATCTCTCGGAGTCTTGGTTTACCCATCTGTGAACAGGGCACGGTTCCTGGCTGACATCCCTCAGGGCTCTCCCAGCTACGAGACCTTAGCCTCGGCCTCTGGGGCTCCGCTGACCTCGTCCCCAGGCGTCCCCAGGGTCTTCCCGCTGCAGCCCTGGGTCCCCAGATGCTCCGCCAGCAGGGCGACGCCAGCCTCCAGCTCCCCCGGGGCACAAGCATGGTCGACGCTGCCCAAGTGGCTGAAGTAAGTTGCGAGCTTCTTCACCGTCTGGTCGTCACACCTGCAGCAGAGCAGAGGCTGGCACCGTGGGGCCGCTTTCCAGAGCCTGCTCGAGCCTCAGACAGAGCGTGTTGCCACCGAGTCCGAAAGCTAAGCCAGGCCATGGCTCGGTACCCTCCCATGGCTCCCCATCTCACTCAGAGGGAAAGCCAGAGGCCTCACCCAACGTGCCCCCGTGACCTCTCTGGCCTCCCTCTCATCCCTCTTCACTCACTGCCCTCCAGACACAGCAACCTCCTCGCTGCCCCTCCAACAAGCCTCAGGGCCTTTGCACTTGCTGTTCCCACTTGCTGGAATGCTCTTCCCTCATTGCCTTCGGGTCTTTGCTCAAACAGCACCTTCTTCGCGTAGCCTTCTAGCCTCTCCTCGCACCTCTGTCTCTTGTGCTGCTTCGCCTTTTTTCCCGCCTGCTTGTCACCGCTCACTAGGATGGGGGCTCCCGCCTGCTGTCACCGCTCACTAGGACGGGGCTCCCGCCTGCTGTCACCGCTCACTAGGATGGGGCTCCCGCCTGCTTGTCACCGCTCACTAGGATGGGGCTCCCGCCTGCTGTCACCGCTCACTAGGATGGGGCTCCCGCCTGCTGTCACCGCTCACTAGGATGGGGCTCCAGGAGAGGAGGGCTGCTGTCTGTCTGCTGCTCTTCTCCCAGGGCCCCCAGATCCGGCTGGCACACAGCAGGTGCTTCATAAATGCCTGTTGCTGGCTTACGGGCTGGTGATGACCTTGGAAGTTGACAGCACTGTACGGTATATTAATAAAACTCAGTGCTGCCCCTTGGTGGCGTACCCGCTGGACCAGCCACCTGTTCGCCATTTTATAGCCCGACGGCGAGTCCCCACAAAACCTCTGCCAGACGAGCGTTCCTGCCCCGTCTAGGAGACGAGAGCTGAGGCTCGGAGGAGTCAGGAGCCCCGTCTGAGGTGCCCCAGGCGGCTGGGCCTTCCCCCCTGTCCAGCCTGGTCGTGAGGACTAAATAAGCCAGGGCGTCAGAGGCCCCAGGCCCGGGCCAGGCCGGAGGGGGCACTGTAAACGCTGTCGCCCGCAGGAGCCGCGGGGTGAGGAAGGGTCTGGTACGTCCTGGACTCAGGCTGAGCTCTGGGCCATGCCTCGGGCCGGCGGCCGGGGAGGGAGAAGCAGCCGTGGTCACTGGGGCTTCCCACAAAGTGTGCCTCTGCCTGTCACCCATTTCATCCCTGCGCGGGGGCGGGGGCGGGGGCATCTTGTCACCTCCCTCCTACGACTGGGGACAGAATCAGGCCCGTCAGCCCCCCAAGTTCAAGCTCTGTCCTGTGTGAAGGGGCCCTGGGCCTCCAGCGCCCATGCGGGCCTCGCCGCCCCCCGCCACACATACCCACTCCTGCAGCCGGAGAGGCCGGCCAGCAGCGCCTTGACCTTGGCCGGGGACGCCCGCTCTCCCTGCCGCTTGTCGCCCTCCTCTTCCTCGTCGGAGGCGGCCTGGCCCTCCACCCGGCGGAACAGCTGCCCGCCCACTGCTGGGGAGACACGGACGTGGGGACAAGGACGGACACAGCCACCCGCGTGCGTCCTCGGGGACAAGACGTTACATGTGCGTCGGGACGCGCGGATCCCCGCGGGCGTGGCCGGGGCCCCACCGTGTGGAACCGGGTTTCAGCCCCCGGGAGCTGCAGCCCCTAACACGGGGGGGGTGCGGGGGGGGTGCAGAGGAGGAGCGTCCTACACGTGACCCTGCGGGGTCCCCGACGTGCTGCGTCCAGTGTGGCCGCGCGACGGAAACCCCGGGCCTGTGGCAGCCGCCGGGGGTCGGGCCGCCCAGCGTCCGGCTCCGACTCCGGGGAGGGGGCAGCCCCCCGAATCTCTCCCCAGGGAGAGGGGCTCTCCCCTCTCCACCCCAGCCTGGCCCGGCACCGGCACCGGGAGGGCGACGCCCGCAGCCAGGGCGGCCCCGGGGGTGGGGCCAAAATCGGATTCAAACTCCCAGGGAAGAGGGGAGCCTGGGCGAGGCCGGCCAGGGGCGGGGGGCCGAGTGGCCCGTCTGGGCGGAGCGCCTTCCGCTCGGGGGCCCACGAAGGCGGGGCGGCCAGGGATGCGGGTCTATGACATCCTGTCCGCGCTCGAAGCCTACGTGGACTTTGCAGCTCGTTCCCGCACGGTACCTCCCACCTGCCTCGAGCCAGTCTGACCTTGACAATGGCCTGACGCGCATGCGCAGACCGAGTCCGAGCCGCAGAGCTGCGAACCCCGCCCCCCGCAGAGGGAGAGGAGACCAGGTGATCCCGGCCGCGCGACAGGCTTGGGAACCACGGACTCGGGTGGCCTGACCCAGGACACCCGTCTCCAGCCTGACTCCCGGCGGGGTGGGCCCAGGGCTGAGGTGACCGGCGGTCCGTGACATTTCAGTTGCGTGAATCGCGTTCCCAGTGTTGACGACTTGCTTCTCGCCCTGGGGACTTCCTGGTGCTGTGTGTGCATGTGTGTTGTGTGTGTGCATGTATATATGTGCGTGTGCCTCATGGTCATTAACATGTCCGGGAGCCCCAGGCAGGGGTAGGCAAGGGACTCGGAAGGGGAAGGGGGAGGAAGGCGCCCAGCAGCCCCTGCACTCGCCCACAGCCGGGCCCGCGGGCACCGGGCACCATCCCAGGCACCGTTTCTCTCTTTCCACCTGCCGCTCCACGCCCACCAGGCCCAGGTTCTTAAGATGACGGGTCTTCTCCAGCTCCTGCTTACACACCTCTGATGATGGGGAGCTCACTCCACCTCAGCTCCCTGGGCACCCAACCCATCCCTCCGTGGGACTGAAAGGAGACACGTCTTTCCCTCACTGAGCTGGAATGTGTCCCTGGAGCCCACGCTCCCCCACACCAGGTGTCTGTGCTCTCGGGTCTGGGGAAGGGGTCCTTGGGGACTCGGGAAGCCCAGCCCCAGCCCGTAGGGGGAGGGGGATTCTGTTTGGAGGCCGGATGGCGGCATCAGTGCACACAGGGCCCTGGGCACAGCCGACCGATCGTGAGCCTGGCTGCAAGCCCTGAGTGTGCAGGGACAAACCTTTGTCCAGGGCTCTGTTCCCGGAGCTGCCGTCCGACTGCCAGGCTCGCTCCAGAGGGGCGTCCGGGCTTCTGGTGCCACCGTCCTCAGGCTTGCCACTCTTGGCTTCTGGCTCTGGGCTGGCTCCTGAGGATGCTGGGAGCTGGGTGCCCTCTGACCTGTGGGCAGGGGAGAAGATGCAGGTGCTGAGAGGCAGGAGGGGGTGGGCCAGCTTCCTGCAGGGCGTGTGGGGTGTGGACCCACCCTCTTCCCCTGCTTCCTCTGCACGGAGCTGTCTACCACGTGCCTGAGGAAGACCCTGTGGCTGGCCCTGGGGGCTCCCTACCCAACGGCCAGCATGTGAGAGCCAGCCCAGATGCTCGCTGTCCCAGCGTCCCTCGCATCTAAGGCACAGGCTGCGGTTTAATTCTAGCCAAGGAGACTTCTGAGGAGCCTCCGGAATGGATTTTTATCCCGTAGTAAAGGTAAATCAGGAGAGAAAATGCCCTTCCTTCTTGCCTTTGGACAGCGTCACGTGGATATGTTTGAAGTGGTGGCAGCCATCTTGCGACCAAGAGGAAATGGCTGAGAGAATTGTGAGTAGTTGAACAAGAGCCCTGATATGTTTTAGCTGCTGAGTTAACGAGTCCTGGACCTCCCACCACCGGACTTCTTATTATGGGTGAGATTTTTTAAAAAGTCTTGTTTCCATTACTTTTAATTGGGCTTTGGAGAACCGATTTCACCCTCATCAATCAATGTTCTTGATATCCTAAGGTCCCCACTTGAATATCCATGGTCCATGTCACCGCCCTTATAAAATCAAGGGGAAAAAAAGGAAAACAAATCTATCCTAACGTGAAAGTATTCACTAACGACCTGGCTGGTTACCAGTCCTTCCCTCCTCCTTCATTTTACACCCGCATCTGTCTCTCATCTCTTCAGAATCTGTCGTTACTCAGTTTCTCCCTGTCGGATGGAACAGCCCAGTAGAAAAGGTCTGTGAAGTGAAATTGCGCATCGTGAAAAAGGAGCGGCTGTGGGACGTCGCTGAAGGCGGTACCGGGGACCCACGGGCCTCCCGGGCAAAACCATGAGTGGCGGGAACGGGGCAGAGCGGGACCAGTTTACAACCGAATAGAGAAAAATCAACAGGATTGGGAGGGGCCGGCAGCACCAACAGAGACCCGGAGGACTGCAAAAAGCCCTTAGAAAACCTTAGAAAACTCTCAAATATTTTTGCAGAAGACCCTCCTCCCGATCAAGCTGCAAAAACAAGAAAACGTGAGGTTAAGGATGCCCATCGTGTTTTCATGTGGTTGTTGGAGAAAGTATTGCAGGAGGAATCTAATCAACCCAGAAACGGTCTACGTCTGAGAATCAGTGCACTGACCTGCGGTCGTGAAGACTGCTTTTAAAAATGGACGAAAAATGAACAGTAGACTTGCCGTGACCCAGGAGGCCACTTCCGGGCAAAAACCCCAAAGATCTGAAGCAGATGTTGCCACACTCTTGTCCACAGTAGCACGATTCACAGTAGCCAAGGTAGAAGTGACCCAAGTGTCACTGGTGCATGAGTGGGTGAAGTGTGGTCAGTCCCTACGATGCAATATTTTTTATTTTTATTTATTTATTTATTTATTTTTTATTTCTAGGAGAGAGAGACAGCGTGAGCAAGAGAGGGTCAGAGAGAGAGGGAGTCACAGACTGAAACAGGCTCCAGGCTCCGAGCTGGCAGTCGGCACAGAGCCCGACGCGGGGCTCGAACCCACGAACCGTGAGATCATGACCTAAGTGAAAGTCGGACGCTCAACCGACTAAGCCACCCAGGCGCCCCTCTTACGATGCAATATTATCCAGCCTTCAGGAGGGAGGAGATACTGACATGCGCTACCACAAGCACAAAACTCGAGGACACGGTGCTCGGCGCAAGAAGCCAGTCGCCAAAGGACAGATGCCGTATGATCCCACGTCTACGGGGCCCCTAGAGCAGCCAGATTCCTGCAGACGGATCATAGCGGGTGGGTGCGGGGGGCGGGCAGGAGAATGGGGAGTTCGTGCTTAATGGGGACAAAGTTCCATTTGGGGAAGATGAAAAGGTTCTGTGGATGGGGGGGGATGGTTGCACCACAGTGTGAATGGACTTCACGCCATTGAACTGGACACTAAAAAATGGCTACAATAGTTAATTGTATGTTTTGTATACATTTTACAACGGGGAAAAAAAAGAATTAACTAAGCACTCCAACAAACTCTCTTGAATCCATTTTGGGTTTATTTTTCAAGTTAAAGCCTCAGTCACATCAGACACAGGCCACTCCCTTTGGTCCCATTTTGTGCAGACTCACTTCAGTGGATTCCCCGGGACCAAATATTGTGGGGACACCACGCGCCCTTCTCAATTCAGGGGCCGCTGTCTGGAGTGGCCGGCCCGACCTTGCCCACACAGACCACAGTAAAGGTGGAAGCCATACGACACCGCGGACGGAGCGGGGGGCCCTGGCCTTGCCGACGAGGAACTGGCAGTGGGACTTGGTCCCCATTTTCCAGATGGGCCCCTGGAGCCCATGACCTCTGAGGTCCTCCCTTCTCGCCTGTGTTCTCGCCGTCGGGTCTGTGAGGAGTCAGAGGAGCCGGCCTGGCTGCACGCGTGTCAGGGAGACGCCAGCAGCTGCTGCAGAGGGACGGGGACACGGGGACACGGGACATGGGACATGGGGACACGGGACATGGGGACACGGGGGGACGGGGACACGGGACACGGGGGATGGGGACACGGGACACGGGACATGGGACATGGGGACACGGGGCATGGGGACACGGGG